TGATCGATGCATATCTGGGTTAATATGTTAAAAATATATTGAGATATATGCTGAAGTCGATTGTGGTCAATCATCTTCTTTACCCATCCAGTCGATACATATGAGCACGAAACGATATTGTGGTCACAAAGAAAAATTTGTCCGCTCACCTGCACCTCCACCAATATTAAGTCACATCACATCAGGGGAGCCAAAAAATGACATCATTAAGGGTGTATCCAACCTCACCAATAGAATGAGGTGGATCCACATCTAGCATAGGGATTTCCTCATCAACACCATCATCATCAGCAGCAGCAACACCATCACCAGCCACCTCCACATTGCTTTAAGACACATTTCCCAAACCTGAAGTTGAAAGTCTCAGCATCCATGGGTACCTTAAAGCGCTCCAAGATCCTCTTAACAAGAAAGGTATATGAAAGTGCGCCCTTCCTAGCAGCACACTACATAATGCAACAGATGTAGTGTCTCCAGTTAACCTGCACTTTATGTTGAATGGACCACATGATAACTAGGTCAGTCTCCACCATCTTCCTGCGATTACGAGGTCACAAGAATATAATATGGTTCATGATATAGAACTAAATATGTGCATCCATAGTCAACCCACACCAAATTGTGTGTATTATGCAAGCCAACAACCCCACACCACAGTAGTGAATTTTGGTAGAAAACCTTCATCGTGACCTCCGAATATGGGCATAACATCTCTGCAAGTACCCTCAAGTGTGCACGATCAAAAAGTATAACATTGTCTAATCCCTCGATCAAGAAAAATATAGAATCCAATTACTTTGGCTCGGCTATACTTAAACGCAAATACTTCGATAAGGACTGAACATGCTCTATTGAATCATTTTGGAACAAATATATATATGACATGTCAATCGACTCTAGATCAATTGATCAAGATGATGACAACCCATCATGCTTTTTCTTGAAATGCCTCTTCGAAGTGGGACACATATACATCAACCATGTGGAATGAATACAAAACTGTAAACAAAAACCAAAACGCATCAAAAATTTGAACAAAATCAACAATTCGGAAGAAAACATGCAATGAACTTAGATTGGGGTTAGGCTTCTGTTATGGACCTGACAAAAAGCCCATATTCTAGAAGGACCAATAAAGGATAGCACAAAAGGAAGGAAAATCTCTTATTAATGACAATCTTATCCAGACAGCTAAGTAGTTGGATTTGGGCCCCCAATATTCCTAAGAGGCCCAGAAGTACACTCCTTCAGGTAACCCATCTATAAATAAGGAGTTAAACCAATAAGGTACGAACACTCTATAAACCCTCTCTCTTAGCTTGTCACTATGCACACACCCCACGCCTTGACTATGTCGATTATTGTTGTGCACAGTGATCAACCTACCCTCAAGGGTATCTCATTCATAGATACCTGAGAGGGCACCTAGATCCTACATAAAATACACCAGCCATCGGCTGGACATCTCTGTCTTTCAAACAGAACAACTTCGATTTTAGGAATCTTCCCCGAGCCCAAATACTAACCAAAATCAGAGACAAATCAAGGTAAGAATTTGAGATTGAAGATGATTAACACCAATTCAGCCACAAATTCACACAATTTGGAGAGATTTGTTTCGATTGGTGACAAATTGACTTAGAGGAGAAGAAGAGCGACACTAAAAAATATCCCTTTCGTGTAACCATGGGTTTTTTAAAACAAGCCTCTTCAGCAATATACTTTCCCGCACTTACTTGAGTAAGTGTGTTACTTGAGTAAGTGTGTTACTCGAGTACAGAAGTCGTGTACCCAAGTAACTCATTTACTCAAGTAAGTGTTAATCAGCTGGTCAAAATGGGGCATATTAGTATATTGTTTGGGGAGGAGGCAAAGTGATAAAAAAAATTAAAAAACAAGGGCAAAATAGGCAATAAGCCAGCAATAATGTGAAGAAGATAATAATGATAGTAGAGGATTTAATATAACAATAGTGATGACTAAGACTATTGTTGTTTTTATATTTTGTGAAAATGACTAATTCGTATATGTAATTGTGACTCAACACAAGGTGAAGGACAAAGGTATTCCCAAAGGTGCTTTTCCAAACATCGAACTCTTATCCTTAGGGATCAAACAACTACTTTTAATCAATACGACCTGCACCATTGAGTGGGAAGAAAGATTTTTTATTCAGTAAAAATATAATATGTTGAAATATGTACAAATGATGATTTGCATTTTTATTATGGGAAAATATTTTTCTCATGTTGTTAAAAAAAATGTTCCATCTCCTACACAAATAAAAAGATGTTCACTTTTTTTTTTTACAAACAGCGGGCCTCATGTTTTGTCTCTATGGCATAAGACAAGTTACCTCCTTTAATATGATATTAATAAGCGAGTCACTTAGGGTGTGCATGACAATCATTCTGTTCCTTGGCACTGTTTCTGAAAAGAAACAATTCTTTTCTATTTCTGTGCCTTGAAACAGTTTCTGAGAAAAAAAATGTGTTTGATAACATGTTCTACTTTTATTCCGAGAATGAGAATTGTGTTTGAGAACACAACAAATAATACAATAAAATATAATTTCTGTTAAGCATAATTTTTTTTATATAACATTTTCTTTTCCATATAGTGTGGTGGCTGCGACAGTGACGGCGTGGTGGTGGTAATAGTGGCAGTGGTGGAGACAACAGAGGTTGCGACGATAGTGATGATAGTTGGTGGCGGTGGTGGTGATGGCAGTGGCTGCGACGATAGTGGCGGTGGCATGGTGGTAGAGGTGACGGCAGTGGCTGCAGCAATAGTGGTGTCGACGACGGCGGTGGCAAGGTGGTAGAGGTGACGACAATGGCTGCAATGATTGTGGTGTTGATGACGGCGGTAGTGGTAATGACATGGTGGTGCTGGAGACAACAATGACTACGACTACGGTGGTGGTATTTGGTGGCGGTGGTGACGACAGTGGTTGCAACGATGGTGGTGGTGGTGGCGGCAGTGGTGGTGGTGACGACAGTTGCTGTGATGATGGTGGTGGCTGTGACGATGATGGTAGTAGTTGATGGCGGTGGTGGCGGCAGTGGTTACGACGATGGTGGTGGTGGTTGGTGGCGGTGGCATGGTAGCGATGGTACGGCAGTGGCTGGAGCAATAGTGGCGGTGGTGGTAGTGGTGGCGATAGTGGTGGTGGTGACGACAATGGTTATGGTGATGGTGACAATGGTTGTGGTGATGGTGATGACAAGGTGGCGGTGGCCATGACGACGGTGGTGGTAGTTGGCGATGGTGACAGCAATGGCTGTGACGATGGTGGAGGTGATTTGCGGCGGTGGCATGATGGTGATGGTGACGGCAATGGCTGCAGCAATAGTGGCGGTGGTGGTGGTAGTGGTGGCATGGTGGTGGTTGTGGTGATATGGTGGTGGTGACATGGTGATGGGTGGAGGTGGTGGTGGTGGTGATGGTGGCGGTGGAATCGTGAGGGTGGTGACAACGACATTGGTGGTACGACGACAACAACGACAATGGTAGTGGTGGTCGTGTCGATATGATGGTTGTGGTGGAGATTAATTGAGAGAGACAAATGTTTCTCATTTTGTGCCAGGGAACAAAAAAACAGAAATATTTTGATTCTTTTTTCTGTTCCCTAGCACAAAAATTAAATCGATTCATCTCGGGAACAAAAAAATAAACCGCTTTTACCAAACGAGTTTCCTATCCATTTTTGTTCCAGGAAACAGAAATTAAAAAAAAAATTAATTTTGAAAAAGTTGTCAATGCACACCTTTAATATTCAGATACGTTTTTGGGCTTTACGTGCACTCCCTTCCTTGGTCCATGCAAATTTTAATATCTCTAAGTTTGGCGAATTCTTGGAAATTTTAAATTTCTCAAACAACGGATTCAACCTCTGGCCAATAAACAATGTGGAAAATAAACTCTATTACGCTATTAACCAACGTTCCTTGGTTTTATATTTACGCAGACGCGCTTAAAGGTTGCTCATTTTTTGCCTATCCCTCTGTGCTCTTACTATATAAAAGCAAGTCACCCTGAATTTTGCCGCCGTATTTGAAAAAATCGATGTTATATGTCGAGTTGAGGGCAATATAAAACGCAATCATTATATGGATGTTGAACAGAAGCGTGATAACTTCACTTGGGCCACCATATAGGCCTCCTAAGGCCTTGAACACTTCAATTCACTCATTAGCTAAACTACTGGACACCGTGTCTTTCGTTAAACGACACCTTTATGGACATGATGGCCACGCCCACTCCCATCTCGAGCAATTGTAGGATCATGCAAGAGGAGGGATTGGGGAGGATTTTCTTGCATATAATTTTCAACCCCAGCTTAGACAAGAGGCAGAAGGTTTTCAGTTGATAAATAAATAAAAATATACATATAATGAATCGAAATCAGTTTAGATGCACGTAGCTACTAGTTCATCCTAGTGATTTAATAACAGCAGAAGAAAACGGGAGGACTTAAGCAAGGGAAGTAAACAGGACACCGGACTTTTATAGACTAACATAGCTGCAGATGAGAATAGCAATTCAAGTGAGCAATAGAATGAACTGCAATCATGGTTATATAGCTTCTGGCTGCAGAGGAAACTATATGACTACATATAAAGTGGTCCTATTCCATGATTCGTGCCAAACCTGTTATGAAGCACCGATATTCCGAATTTTTTTTTCAGCGTATCCGATAAACGTATCGGAAACGTATTGTATCGTATCGACGAATTAACGGTCGTATCGAGAATATATCGAAAACGCCGTGTCGGAGTCGGTGCTTCATAGCAAACCTGCACCACATCCGAAGCATACAGAGCCTTTTATGCATAGGGTTTTGGAGGGCAAAGGAGAGAGCAGTAATATAAGGAGCAATAGTATTCTGTGACAAGGGTCCAATGCAGCAATCTCATAAACTCAATGATAGATGAAGTCAAATAAACACCAGAGTTATCAAGACTAACACAAAGAAGAGATTAGAATACCAAGCCTGAAAAAGTGCCATACTAGGAATTGAAATGAAAGTTTAAAATTGTCATATTATAGCTTTGTCCTTGAAACTAGATAGCTTCTTTAAAAGAAGACTAAAAAGTCAGATAATTGCAGTATTCTCCTCAATCATAGGATTTAGAACAATCATCTCTGTTCAGAGAATTATTCTTATAAACAAAAGAATGAACTAACATTAAGGAATCAAAAATAGCATCTGAATGCAACAAAGGCATACATCAACTGCTACTGGGAAAAACCAACACGTCCATCAAATCCCACATCAGACTCATTAGCTGTTATCACCAGCATTCAGCCAACAGGTGCCTTCAGTGTTGCCAATCTCAATGCTACCTCTGCAAAAAAAAACCACATTTAACATTTAATTTACAACAATTAAATAAAAATTCAAATCAAAGCAAACAGGACAAGCAATTACAGAAGAAATCAAAACGCATACACACATCCCAGAATTTAATTATGTTCCTCTTTTCCACCTCAAATAACAAACCAAATGATATACATACCTTGCCATTCTCAGGAGCTTCTTCAACCTTGTATGAATCAGCTGTAACCTCAGATAACCACATACCAGGGAAAAGGGTCTGCACAAGAATCAAATAACAATTCAATTCAACCTTCCACAGTAGTAGTACAATACAGGAAGAAAACCAACAAAAAAGAAAAAGGAAAACTGAAACCAAAACCAAAACCAAAGATTGGTAGTCATAATCATAACAGCTTACATCCAATTGTTTCTGGACAACTCTGGGCCTCTTCTTGGGCCTCCTGGGAGGACGGTGACCCAGCAACTGCATGAAATCTTCCTCAATCTCCTTCCTTGACAAGGACAAAGAAAATTTCACCTTTTCCGTCTTCGTCTTCTCAGGAGTGCCTCTCAATTTCGGCGACTTCACGGCACCGTTATTAGTCCTCAACGGCGACGGCGATGACGAGTTGTTGGGTTTCTTCTCCTCAATCTTCAACCCCTTTCCACTATCTCCGGCGGCCGGAGCCTTACACGCAGCTCGCCTCGTCCTCAGATTCCACGGCCTCACTCCGGCAGCAGCCGCCACCGCCTCCGGCCTCACTTCTTCCTCCGCCGCCGCCTCCTCATGATCATCATTCTCCGCCGCCACCTCCTTCCTCAAAATCGCATCTTTGATCCTATCAGCCTCAGTCTTCAGATCAAGCATCAGCTTCTCCCTCACCGCATCGATCCCATCATCGCCGTGAATTGGCGGTTTCGTCATCCTCATCCTCTTCTCAGAGTCCCTCGCATTATTCACCATCGGCTCCAATTCCCTCTTCTTCCGGGGATCTCCGGCGTCGGAAGCGTCGGCGCCGTTGGGGTTCACTTTCATGCACCTCAGGTGACGCTGACTCCCCCACTTCAAACACGGCAGCATGAAATTGTGAAGAGGCTTCGATCTCTCGGGTCCCATCGCCATAGTCTCTTCTTCCGAACCCGCAAACACCATTTACCGGAAAAACAAAAAAACAACGAACCCAAGAACACCCGGCAACCGCGCCAAGTATTCAACAAGAAGCCCTACCGAGAGCTTCTCGAGCTGGGAATTTTCTCGGGAAAATCCACACGAAAGAGGAGAACTTTAAGGGAAGATTATGGTTTCGTTCTGCAAACTCGCCGGGAAACGCAAGTTTTTATATGAGTGAGGGAAAAGGAGAAAGAGGGCGGTTTTAACGTTCGGTTTGGCCTTCAAGGCTCTTTGCTAAAATGCGCTTTGAGTGCTTTCGTATACATTTCGTTCTTCTTTTTTCTTTTTTTCTTTATTTTTTCTTTTCCCGGGTGATACGTCGTTTTTTAAGTGGGAATGAGCTCAATCACTACCGTTGATTTGATGGATTTCAATACTATATGACCCAATCACACCCGTTCGTTTGAAATCCTTTTTATTCCCTTATATTAAAATTACATATTATCTCCCAAAAAAAAAAAAATCATATTGATAATCCTTGTATTACCAGGTCAAACAGACCCTTGGTTTTGTGTTCTTGGTGGTCAAGGATTTAAAAAGATATGAAGAGGATATATGCACCATTAAGAAAATCATCATAGATAGTTGATTTATTATGAGCATAATTCTGTTTTAAATTAAAGATAGAATATGCCGATGATGTTCAAAATCTTGAATCAATCCGTGTGAATCAGTTAGCTTCGTGTTTTACCGTACGATGATAGTTTAGTTAACAGGCATATCAAACTATATACATGTCTCTCTATATTTTTTTTTTGGTACACTGTCTCTATATATTTTGATATATATAAATGTATGTCTCTCGGACATACATTCGTGTGCTATTTTTTTTTTCTTTTAATTTCGAATTATATACTTTTGTTGTTTGAATAATGTATTTTGAATGCTTTTATTTTATTTTGGATGGGTTTTTATTCCTAAAAAAATTGTTTTTTTTTAAATAAAAATCCTTTTGAGAATTTTTAGATATTTGGATAACAATTTTTAAAAAAAACAAAATTTTAAAATTAAAATTAAAATGCTAATTTTTTTAACTAGTAGTTGGTTGTTTTTGAAAAAATCCGAAATTAAAAGATAATATAATTTTATTATTTTGAAATAAGATAATATAAATTTTTAAAATACAATTTTAACATCATCTTATCATATTTGTTTTATCTCTTCTTATCCCATGATCATGCTATTTTTTTTTTTTGGTAAACAACTATGATCATGCTATTTTATCTCTCCTTTATTGTAATTTTATATATAAAAAGTATTTTTTTTAATTTTAACATCCAAATAACTTTTTTTATGTAAAAGTGATTTTCAGATTATACATCCAAACGTAAAATAACTTTAACTTTTAAAAAAAGTTCTTTTAAAAAAAAATGTATAAAAGGTCATTTTTTTAAAAGCTCATACGAAGATGCCTTAAATATCGACGTTAATAAGTAAGTTGTATCTAAGGAGTGAATTATTAGGCCTAAAAGGTTTCTTATTTAATTTTTAGGCAAGTGATAAAAAAATGTACACTTTGTCGCAAAAGAATTAATTTCTTCCAAATAAGTGAGGACATCCTTGGAAAATAAAAAATAATCGAACTACGAATTCTTTCTTTTTTTAAAAAAAAAATTAATTTGATTTGGAGGAGATTCTCAAATTAAATTAGATTGAATCATAACCACTTAATATTAAGGGCACATTTGGCAGACTGGATAGAGAGGATGTGATATAATAGATTATCATATCACTAGTAAATTATCCGTGCGATGCCCGGGATAAAAATAACAAAATTGTTGTCGCCGTCGTTGGTTAATCATCGTACCGGTAAATCTAACACTTTCATCTTGCTATCAAGCTCTGAACAGTACTATGGTAAAGGTATAAACATGAAGGAATAAAAAATAAAAAAACAAACTATTATTTGAGAATTATCTGAAATAAAAAAAAATTGTCTTACTATTTTTGAACTTTAAAAGGTTACAACATTCACACATAACTTTGTAAGTATCAACCACAAACAAAATTTTGCAATTCAGAGGCATTGATTATTTCAAAAATCGAATATAGTTATTTACTCAATAATTCAGTCTTCAATTTTAACTTCCAATGAACCTTCTGTTCTGCATTATTATTCAATATGATCCCGTCTTATCGATTCAACCGTACACAAAATTTGCTACAAAATAAAATCAATTAATATACATGAAGAAAAAAAATAATAATAAATAATTACAATCAGATTTATAAAATAATAATAAATAATTATATTTTTGCAAGGATTTGTGTCGTTAGTATTTTAATTTATAAAAATGTGTTGGTAGGCCGGCCCTCTGGGCCGAGACCAGTTTGCCACCTCTAACTATTAGCATTTAATAGGTTTTTATATTTATTCACACAAAAAGGCTCTTATAGTTACATCTAGGTTTTTATATTTTATCTCAAAGATGAACTTTCATTTATTACAATTAAATTTACAAAATAATAATAAATTTTTATTTTTATTTTTTGGTGAAAATAAATAAATATTTATTTTTCTGCAATGATTTGTGTCGTTAGTATTTGGAATTTTATAAATTTGTATTTACAAAAATTGAAATCTGAATTAGGAATTTAATTATAAAAGAAGAATAGTGAAATTTTAATTTAATTATAAAATCATTTTCGCAGGCAGGGCGGGCAGGCCCTCAGGGCCAAGCCCAGTTTGCAACCTTTAACTATCAGCATTTTATGTAAAAAATTATTTTTTTACAAGAATTTATGTCATTAGTATTTTGAATTTTACAAATTTGTATTTACAAAAATTAAAATCAGATTTAGGATTTTTATTATAAAAGAAGAAGGATTAAATTTTAATTAATTATAAAAAGGTGTTGGTGGGCCGGCCTTCCGGACCGAGCCCAGTTTGTCACCTCTAACTATCAGCATGCAATAGATTTTTATATTTATCTACAAAAAATGTTCTTATAATCACATTCAGGTTTTTATATTTTATCTCAGAGATGGACTTTCGTTTATTACAATCAGATTTAAAAAATAATAATAAATAATTATTTTTTACAAGGATTTGCCTCGTTTGTATTTGAAAATTTACAAATTTGTATTTATAAAAATTAAAATCAGATTTAGGAATTTAATTATAAAAGATGAAGGGTGAAATTTTAATTTAATTAGGCCGAGCCCAGTTTTCCACCTCAAACTATTAGCATTTAATAGGTTTTTGTATTTATCCACACAAAAAGGCTCTTATAGTTGCGTCTAGGTTTTTATATTTTATCTCAGAAATAAACTTTCATTTATTACAATTAGATTTAAAAAATAATAATAAATAATATTCTATCAAACATTTTATAGTTGAAGTTGAATTGGGTAATATCAAAAGATCATTCATTAGTTTAATTATATGATAATAAATATTATTAATAGGCTTAAAAAAATATTATTAATAAGCTTAAAAAAATATTATTAATAGGCTTAATAATTTTCGATGCAGAAAATAGTGGAAAACATGCATAGAAGGATGTGCACATTCTCCAATTAATAATTTCTAGTTTTCATTTACAACATAGGAAATTGTATTTTTTTTACTCTTACATCAAAAGAATGAAAGTTTTATTTCTTTCTTATATATTAAATTAAAACTCGTATTTTTATAGTGATTAAATAAGTTTTTTTTTCAGAATGAAAAATGTCATTTTTTTATTTTTTATTTAAATTCTTTTATTTTCATTGTGCATATTTTTTTATATTTGTAACATATTTATAATGAATAAATATGAGTTGATACAAAAAGTATTCTACTAAATCAAATATTTGGTGAATTGAATTGAATTGCTTTTAATATAATCGAATATTTTTGTATTAATTAGACATATTTTTGAAAAATTTAATTTTTTTCTCTTTTAATTTAAATTTTTATATTTTGTAATATTGGTTATACTTATATGTTTAAAACGTTTATATATAAAAAGTATTTTTTTTAATTTTAACATCCAAATAACTTTTTTATGTAAAAGTGATTTTCAGATTATACATCCAAACGTAAAATAACTTTATCTTTTAGAAAAAGTTCTTTTAAAAAAAGAATGCATAAAAGGTCATTTTTTTAAAAGCTCATCCGAACAGATCTTAAATATCGACGTTAATAAGTAAGTTGTATCTAAGGAGTGAATTATTAGGCCTAAAAGGTTTCTTATTTAATTTTTAGGCAAAACATTTTAGGCAAGTGATAAAAAAATGTACACTTTGTCGCAAAAGAATTAATCTCTTACCCAATGGGTGCAGCTCAGTTGGTAACTTGGTACTGAGTTAGTGGGGTTGGACATGTGTTCGATTCCTGCTGAATGCATTCTTGGGGAGGGGGCTGAACCTTTAGCCATCACTGATCCCCGCACTTCGGATTAGTCCCATAGCCGGCTCAAAGAGTCGAAGCTCGTGGGGATACCGGAGGGAGCCAACTCGCCTCAAAGAGGTAATTAGGGTTGGGTAACTCCAAAAAAAAAAAAAGAATTAATCTCTTCCAAATAAGTGAGGACATCCTTGGAAAACAAAAAATAACCGAACTAAGAATTCTTTCTTTTAAAAAAAAAAAAACTTAATTTGATTTGGAGGAGTTCTCAAATTAAATTAGACTGAATCATAACCACTTAATATTAAGGGCACATTTGGCAGACTGGATAGAGAGGATGTGATACAATAGATTATCATATCATGTTCTCATCTATTGTTGGTGAAGCAACAAGATATCATAAGTTTATCCTATTGATCCATTTTATCTTATCTCTAGTAGGTTAAACTATCCCGAGGGGAATTTGAGTTAGAAATGAACAAAATATGATAGCAAATGTCACATTCCTCTCATTCCAAATATAATCATACATCATATGCTCTTCTTCTACAAACATTGCTTGACATATGAGGGGCAGCCCTTGCCACCGATCAACCACTACTATTATCTGTGTCGGCCATCAACACCTCTATCACCCATTATCACCACCACTATCTAGGGGTGTTCGCGGTCTGGATTGGATCGGTTTTGAAAGCAAAAATCATCTGATCCAATTCCTTCGGTTTGAATTTTTTTTTCAAATCGGATCCGATCCATTTTTTTTCGGTTTGGATTGGATCGGTTTTTGAT